GCGCGCGGGCGGCGGGGGAACGGGCGGCCCCGCGGCGCCGCAGAACCACCTCACAAGCACCCGGCGCCAGCCCCGACACCCAGCCCCAAAGAGGCAGCTCCCCGAGGCCGTCACAGCTCCCTGTGACACGCAGGGCGCCCGGGCAGGCGCCACAGCCGCAGCCTCCACACRCAGTGAGAGAGGGCGCTGCAAAATTCGAGGCCGTTTTGGGAGCAAGAAAAAAGAGGTGTTTATACAGAAGAGCATGTTACGGAAGAGGGATCAATAAGCGTTGTGCTGATGAGCTCCAGTCGGAATGAGAAAAGCTGAGTTACAGATTGCAATTACTGTTTTTATGRCTCTGTTTTCGTTTAATGTGCTCTTCAGTGCGCAGTTACTCCATTACAGCACTATAAACAATCAGGATGACCCCAGCAATAACAAATGAAGCTCTTGATGTTTTATCATCAGGCTGGATGTAACTTACAGCACTTTGCCCTCTCTAATAAAATTCCTGATATTCCTTATTTCATAATGTTCTAATTGGCTGCTAGTGAGATCCTCTTTCTGTGGCACTTTGAAGAAAATCTGCTTGGATCAGCAGAGCGCCTCTGGCAGATAATTTGTTGCTGACTGATGCACAGGGAATGCCCGGACCGAGAGCCATGCACCGGCCTTTCAAATCTGTGACATTTCGGCAGCTTGTCCCTGTGGCCGGGATGTCTCCGTGGGGTCCGGTGCTCTGCACAGGCCAGGACCCGGCTTCGCCTCCRAGGAGGCGATCCGGAAAGGATCCTGCCCCTAACACGGAGAGGCCACGGCTCCCATGGGTACCCACGTGCAGTGTCTGCTCCCTCTGCTCCGGCTCTGCGGCTGGCAGTTGAAGCCAAGGGAGCAGCTTCTGCACCAGAGGACGGCCACATTCGTCCCACTCACGCCAACGGGGAAAGGGTTTCTCAGCAGAGCAGTCAGGCGGACTGACAAGATCCACAGACAGCCCAAAGCGGCAGGGAGCAGCTGGAGGGGAAGGTGGGCAAGGGGCAAAGAACCATCCTTTACATTGACCAGCAGCAAGCCCTATTGCTGCTTCCCAACCAAGTGGCCACTTGGAGGGTGGGCAGCCTGCACCTGCCTGACACCTCAGATAGCTTTGTACCCACAGGCCTGGTTGCAAATCCCCATCCTCCTAAAAGCCTCCAAAAGCACTTCCCAGCAGGACCAGTTTGGCCCTTTCATCCGTAAATGTCTTTTGCTGCATAACGCAGAGTGGAAATGCCAAGACTTATCYCTGCTATCCCACTAAAACAATGCCCGTTCTCAGCTCCCGTGATGGCAACAGCAGCGCTGCTGATCTCATCTGCCCACTCAGGGCTGGACTCTGCTCCCACCACCAGCAAATCCACCAGCAGTGGGGGGAGACCTTGGAGATGCCAAGGGAAGAGGCCACAGCGAGACACCAGCGTGCCCTGACGGAGAGCCCTGGTCACGAACACAGTTCACATCTGGCTGCAGGAGCCTGTCCCCGAGCAGACCTGGGCTCCGCAGACGAGGACAGTGCAGGGCTGGTTGTCCCCAACCCAAATGCCAGGGGAGACCTGGAACATGTGCCACCCAAGAGCAGGGTACCCAGGTGCAGCGTGCATGAGAGAGCAGCACTTACAACATTACCGTGGTGGTGGTGACAATGGTGTCACAACATTGACCTCACGTGGGGTTCAGGCCTCTCCAGGGTGGAGGACAAGACACAATTGCACTTGACAAGTAATTTACTGCCCTGCTCTCATCCCCAGTGAGTTAATTCAACACTCACAGTGCTATTTGCTGAAACGCTGGCACCCATGTGTGTTCTGCCGCCCCAGCTCGACCCTTGCTCATCAGCAGATGTGACTTGCTTGCAGAAATAAATGATGCAGCTACACCCTGAATTAATTTATCCCCTATTTACAGATCCCAGCCCCCAACCAGCACAGGGATGGCATSTGACTTGTTGCACTCGTTTTTCTGTGTCTGAGGCGATCGTGGGATGCAACCCAACCTGCAGCTCCAAAATCTGACGGCACGTCCAAATTCACTGCTTTATTACTCATCCTGGAAATAGCCTGGCTCCCAATTCTGGCATATGCTGAACTAGCATTGCTGAACTTTCCAAGGATTTGAATCTCTGGGAATCCCTTATTGCCTGCAGTGCCTTAGAGCATGTGCTAGGGAGTGTTTCAAAAGCCCAATACGAAATAATCCAAGGGCTCTCGAAACCGCTGAGCCATTTCCCGCACCATGTGGGGAAGGGTGGGCTCTTTTTAAAAGAAACATGAAATTGTAGCAGTGAAATTAATTATTTGTACTCCTGCCTTGCCCCTGGGCAGCCCCCCGGGTTTCCCCGTGAGTCCTATCGTGTGTCACTGTCAACATCAGGCATCGCAGCCCAGATTAAGTCATCAGAAGCCAGCCCGGCTCCCCCACTGCCACTGGAGAGCAAAGCAAAGCTCACGCGGGTGCAGGGAGCCCCGAAGGGCAGCTCTGCTGCGGACACGGTGGGGCAAGTGGGGTTGCAGGACCCCAGCTGCCTCGGACACACACGGTGCTGTGACTGAGCGGGGCGAGACTCACTGTTTGCTTGGTTTTCTCTTGGAAGAATCACGTGGACTTGACCAAACTAGATCCACTACGTTCCGTCCTACCACGCATCAGGTAGCAAAACCCAGGTCCAGCCAGTCCCCCAAGGCTAGGGGCAAGTCCAAGCTTCCACCAAAACTCTGGAGATGACAGGCAACATGATCACCTGGGACAAGGCAAGGGGCATCCAAGGGGATCCTCAACAAGCAGGTAGCACCCCCAACACTTGTCATGTGTCCTCAGCCAAGAGCCGGGTCCAGGCTCATCCAGGGTTTGGGGAATGGGTACCCCCACATCGGTCTTTGATGTGAAGTGCTCCACTCCAGACACACCATTGCAAACATCCCTCATACTCAGGGAGTCACAACACAAACTACTGCTTGCACTGCAAGATGCAGCCCAGCAGATCCGCATCCGAGGCCAGGCACAGGTCAGAGAGCAAACAGGCAGAATCCTCCRCTCCTCAATCTTAAAGCAGCTGCTTTACAACCCCACGCTGTTTTCCCAACAAATGCTAGGAAGCTGCCCCCGTTGCAGTTGCCTGAAGCCAGGCAGAGACCAGGAGCAGGTCTGCCAGACACAGGGAGCTATTAGCCAAGCACTAAGCAYGGGCAGTTGCAAGCAGCTGGAGCAGGGCTGGTGGGGCTGTTACGTGACGTTAATTCATGCTTTCGGTGCCTGCCTACCCATGTGCTGTGGGCAAYGCAGCAGTTGCCTTGGGCAAGAACTACTGCACGTGAAGTCTGAAGCACTAAGTGCCAGGGTTTCCCAAAACGCCCCGGCCTTCTTCTGTTTGCTTTTCCAGCTCCCTTTGCAGGCTTCAAACTCAGAATTGTAAATCCACGTTGCAATTCAGGATCCAAAGCTTGTGTTCCTTTCCTCACCTAGGAGATGCTCTGGCAGCATCAGGAGCCCAGAAAAAATAAGAACGGGGGAAAAAAAGTAAAAAACATCCAGGAGACTAAAAGCACCTGATAGCAGCCTGAGTGCACACAGCCTTATTCCCATTTCACAGCAGGGAAACTGAGGCATGGAAACCGAGGCACGGAAGGATGCAGGGAGTTGCTCATGGAGATGGTATTGAAGATGTCCTGGCTGAAGATGTCACCCTGTGTGCTGAGCCCTGCAGAGGCCAGTGCAGGGAACTGACACTGCTCACACTGCAGGGGCCCAGATCCCTGGGAGGGAGAAGGGTTAAAGGAGGGAATTTAGTTACTTTCTGTCATATTTTCTCGTGGGGGGAGAAGYGTTGTGCGAGCGGCAGTTTTCCACTGGCGCTCGGCCCCCTTGCACTTATCAATGGGACCTTTCAGGACTCACTCCCTGATTGAGACATCATTTCCTGTCCAACACACTAACCCCATTGATAACTCCAAGCTTGATGGGAACTTTTCAAACCTACCAGGAAGGGCCAGGAGACCCAGAAGAACATATACATGAAAACACTACTGGGGCAAAGAGAAAGAGAAGACGGAGAAGGAGAGAGTCCTGGCCACAATCTGCAGTCCACAACAAATCTGTGGCATTGCAGAGCTGGGCACCTTTAGCAGCTACCTGTGGCACGGAGCAGCTGCCGCACGTAACATGAACTGCTCATATTGGTGGCACTGGCAGACCTGGAGCCTCAGGCCAGTAAGGAATGGAGAGGGGCACGAGAGGCAGCTGCAGAACATCTCCCTTTTGTCTTCAAGCCATACGGCAAACAAGAAACTCGGGATCTCCAGGAAACGGTCCAATTTTCCTCTAAAAAGCTAGACGGTCATAGTGACTTCACATGTCCAAGTCCTATGAAGTTATGTAAAAGGATGAAAACAGGAGTCTTCAAGGTACCTCGGACCATGCCGGGAGGAAGCAGTTTCTTCCTGATTTATCACAGCTTGTCCTGGGTACCTGCTGTGAGGACTCGCTCGCTGTCCTGGCCTCAGGTTTTCAACCACAAGCTGCAGCCCCCAAATGACATTTGCCCCAAAGCTCACGAGTCCGTCACACCAGGGCTTTTGGTTTTGCCTGCCAGCAAACAGAAATGTTATAACCCTAAACACCTGCAGTCTGGCTGCCTAAAAGGCACTGGGATGCACAGCTATCCCTGGAGCTGGGTTACAACTGCACAGAGCAGCAGCCAGGGAGCTCTCCCTAGCCACGTGCAGCACACACTCCCAGTGCTGCTCAAATACTTAAAATTAGCTGCTATTCCCAAAAATGCCAGCTTTAAAGGTCTTTACAGTGCAGTAAAGACACCAAGGTGTGCATACCACCCACTTATCTTTTACCCTGAAACGACCGAGTCAGAAAAATTCCAGTATTATGCTATGTAATAAACCAAACAAGCCCAAAACCTTACTGAAATGCACCATTACACGAGAGAGAAGGATCGTGAAAAATAATGTCTTATGGCACAGAAGACTTACCTGCAGGTCAAAGAACTTGCTGTACCTTCTGTAGATGATCTGGGAAGTCAAGTCAGACCATGTCACGTTTATGATATAGACCTGTCCAGGGAAAAGAGAGAACAAGTCAGCACGGGCCCTGAAACACCTAAGGCGTAACAGGCAGAACGGGTAAATTTGGGGTCTCCCTGACCGCTTTACTCTCAATGGGGAATAAAGCCCTGGAGGGGGGAATAACGCAGKGCTTCCCTGCTGTGCCTGTCAGCTGGGCTCTCAGGACAGGCTGCTCTCCCAGCGCTTCCCATCAGCAGCTCCCATTGATCTTGCTTGTGCCAGGAGGGAAGCTTTAACTGAGGAAGAGCCCGTTCCTGGTCCCTGGCAGCACCCCAAGCTGCTGCCCTCCTGCCCCTTCTCCAGCCTCCCTGCAGAGGAGCCCCCAGCCCTGCCCAGCGGGCAGGCGGCTCCCATCCAACAACCAGGACACTCCAGGGAAACTGAGCTCCGGGCTGGGGCAGCGCGACGGGGCAGCGCAGCCAGGAACSGCAGTTGCTTTGTGTGCAGTTACCCTGTGCACGCCGGTACCTGCAACTCGACCCACGGCCCCTGCCTGCCGCACGGAGACATCCCGGCCCTCCACACCTCCAGCACCCGCGGTGGCACCGCGGGGACACCAAGCTGGTCAGCAGGTGACACCAAGCTGGTCAGCAGGCGACCCTGCTCGCCTGGGTGGTGTGAGCAGCACCACAAGGCAGCAGCAGCCCTGTCCAGCCCTCGGCTGTGCCCACAAATACCCTCCTGCAAAAACACTGCTTTGCCAGGATTGAGACGCACACACACGTGTATGTGCACACACACATTTCCTGTGTGTGGAGGAAGAATAAAATGGGTCAAATTCTGCTCTCCTATGCACAGGTCTCCAAGTTAAAGGACACTGGTCCTGCTCACTGGACCACAGATGAACAGGACTTCAGCAAGCAGAGGATGGGGCCGTTGAGGGCAACCAGCGCGGCTGCCGGAGCGGTCCCAGCGCAGCGGGAAGCCCGGCCAGGCCACATCCTGGCTCTTTAAAGCAGCTTCCAGGTTTCACACATGGGGTGGGACAGGGCCCAGGCAGAGCTGTGGGGCAGCATCCCCGCTCCTCGGGGCAGGTTCCCCCGCTCTGCTGCGCCGGTGTGTGGAGGAGTATCACCCTGCTCTGCTCCTTCCCCAGCACCATCTTCCAAAGTGACATTGCAGGGCAGCTCCTTTCTGCTCCTAAACTGCCTCCACGGCTCTGGAAGGGGGCAAAGAGCAGGCTGAGAGGTACTTTTCCACAACTATGCTGGGATTTTTTTCCCTTTCTTTCCTCATGGGAGAGAGGCAACATCTGATGCTTGGGAAAAAAGAGGACATCCTGCAGCCTCACTTCCCTCTCAGCAGAGTTTTCACCAGATCACAGAATGGTTGAGGTTGGAAGGGATCTCTAGAGATCATCTAGTCCAACCCACGGCTCCAGCAGGGACACCCAGAGCTCGGGGCACAGGGCGGCATCCAGGGGGTTTGGAAGATCCCCAGAGAAAGAGCCTCCACAGCCTCCCTGGGCAGCCTGTGCCAGGGCTCCGTCACTCTCACAGGAAAGTTGTTCTTCCTCACATGCAGATGGAGCTTCCTGTGTTTCAGCTTGTCCCCATTTTGTTTGTTTGTTTGTTTTGGTTTCTGTTTTGCTGTATCTGAGGAAGGGACAGGCTGAGCACGTGCTGTCAGGAAGGTCGCAGCCTTTTATAGGATGCTGAGGGCTAAGATGCCAACTTCGACTCAGTTCCCACATCAAACCTATCTGTGCTCCCAACAGGTTGGCAAAACAAGGACTGGCTCCTAGAAAACACAGGTCATTCCTTGATGTGTCTCACATTTCTCCTGCAAACTCAAGTCATTTCACCCCTCCGTGCGGGTCCCTGCTCACAGCAGTGACAACAAGGAGCCCGGCTCGCAACGGGCTGATAAGAACAAGCAACACGGAGCTTTTGGGTCCCCTTTAAAGGCTCTGGCTGCGCAGACGGGGTCAGGGCCTGGGAAGGAAGCTGCCTGTGCCAATTTGCAAGGCAGCCGCACTCCACCGAAGAACATTTTTCCATGTGTTTGTTGTGCAAAAAAAAAAAAATGTTTGTTGCTTCACTCCGGGCTAATTCACAACACAAATATTTCTACCAGTTCTCTATCCAACAGCTACTTTCAGGATGGAAAACCCATTTGATTAAAAACAGATCGTGACAGATGGGAGCTGACTGGGATCCAARAGCAACTCCAGATACTGCGCTTGGGGCCTGGGGTTCTCACAAGGGGACGGGATGGGGAAAGGAGGAACAGCTCACAGGCAAGTTAAGTTTATCGGCTCTCTTCAACGATGCCTCTTTTCTCCAAAAGCTAGAAACAACCCACAGAGGCTGCAGCCTTCCAGGGTTTTTGCTCTTCACATCACTTCAGGTTTCCTCACGTGTTTATTCATGAAAACCAGGAATCTCCAAAGCTCCCCAGCAGCCTGCRCAGGGACTAATCCTGCCCGGAGAGCTGCCCCCTTGCAGAGGAGCAGCAGGGGCTGCAGGGCTCCCAGCACATTCACCTCCCAGGGCACCACCGAGCCCAGCAAGCCACAGAATCACAAGCRGGGCGACTGTTTCTATTTTACTTTTTGAACAGGCACGTGCAGCTCTGCGTCTATATTAGCASGCTCAGCAAAGCGCGTTGTACCCTCGGAGCAAGAGGCGGAGGGAGCAGGGAAGGAAACTTCCATTTCAGTCAGGCCAGGATTTTGCTGCACGTTTAAAATCGCCATTAAGCCTTTCCGAGGCTCGGGTCTCTACGTGTTCAGCAAACGTGCATGTGGGCAGCACGCAGCTGCCTTTGCTTCTCTTCTGTTTCATGGATAGATTATAGCAGGCGCAAGAAAAGCCTTTCATCATAACCCAGACTTGTGCTTGGTGAGAAATGCAGGGACTTAAACCTGCCTGGTGGGACGCAGGTGCAAAATCTGAAATGGCTATTGATTTTCAGTGCTTGTTTGCATAAATCCAACCGCCTCTGGAAAGTTACCATCGAAAATAGCGGGGAATAACTGTTTGCCTGAACTCGGGAAAGATCTGTAAAATGCCACATTTTCAAAGCAAGCCCTCAAGGTTTCCAAAGCCTGGAGTATCGCATTTCCCTCCCTTGGAGGGCCCAGTTTGGTGCTTATCTGATTCTGCTGCTCCGGGTGGACCCATAGCCTTTCCAAGAGCAGGGAATGTTACCTGGGGTCACCTCAGCGCCGCCTTGCCCAGGTCTCCAAAGGGGAGGCTGGGAAGCTGGAGCCGCAGCCGGGGGGAGTCGGGATCACCGTGGCCACAGCAGCAGGAAGGCTCGGAGGAGCTGGGACCGTCCTGAGCCCGGTCCCCGCTCACTGCCTCCCTGAATCCAGAGCATCTCGCAGGCCACAGCGGGAGCTCGGCCAGGGATCCCTATGATCCCCCAGAGCCGGGCGGCTGCAAAGGCAGGAGCTACAACAACTACCTACCTAAGGCAAAGGACCCGCTTTAAGCACCTTTAAGCCCTGTTGCTGACCTTACAGGGGTCGATACCTATTTGATATTCAAAGGCCTCACCCTAAAATTCTTCCTTAACACTAAATAATTCCAATTAAGCACAAAATGCAAACAATTTATTGCTCAACTGGATGCTCCAGCTACCAGGAATGTTAATTTTTTAATTTCACAAATCAGGTCATTTTTCAGTCTACATATTTTAAAATAAATGCTGTTTCTTCAAGGAAACAAGAAGCTGGCCTGTACAGGTGGGAGAATAGCAACCAGGAATGGGGCTGGATAAGCAGCTCAATACTGATGCTGCACGAAGGAAGGAGCAGGATGCTGGGGGTGGATTTTATCAGCTACTAATTTTTGTTTAATTCGAGCTCTAGGAAACTTCCATTTTACCCCCCACAGGGCAGAAAATCTATTGCAATCTGAAGTTACTGCTCTCCTTTACTGCTGACACTAATCAACGAGATGATTTCCTGCTACAAAGCCCATTCATTCCCATGTCCCTGGGTGTGACTTCATCACTGAACATCTTATTCTCAGTGGAAAATAGCAACTTCCAGCTGGCACAGAACCCAGCGGGGAGGAATTCAGGTTACTCTCATTTGCCTCAGTTTTCAATCGCCTTTCAGGAGGTGTTTTGCTCTCCAGAGTCAGATGAGCTGGAGCAGAAGGTAAATGCAGCTGAGAGGAGCAGCAGGATGAGACCAAGACAAGAACATCCACAAATCGGCAAAGACAGGATGCCAAAATAGCGACTAGAAACACCCTTGTGTTATAGATAATATAATAGATAATATCCGAGTATTTGGAAAAGGAGCCTGTAGCAATTTTGGCTGGTTCAGTTCAATTGAGAAGTTTACGTTATAAAGGCTCAAACTGCTGCAACAATCCCCAAATTCAACTTGCATCTACGCCTTAAGTTACAAGAGGAAACGCTGCTCCACCTTGCTGCTTGTGTGACCATTTTGGAGCTTCTGGCTAGTGCAAATCAGCCCTGGCCCAGACCTGTTTGGGGTGATCTCCAACCCCCGTGTCTGCAGCAGCGAGGCTGCTCGCCCTTCAGTGTCACCGATCTTCCAGGACCTTCTTCCACCACACCAGACACGGGCAAGTTCCCTTTGCAGACAGGCAGGGTGAGGGTCCCCAGCACCCTCGGGTCCTCTCCTACCCAGAGGCCGGGATGGCAGCAGGGCCAGCGGAGCAGCCCAGGGATGAGCACGGGAGCGCGACAGCTCCCGCAGTGCACGCGGGCCGAGCCGCAGCTCCGCCTGGATCACATCCCAACTTTGGGCACGCTCACCATCGACTCCGGAGGCAGCGAGCGCAGCCTGGGCTCCTTGCCCAGCCCAGCAGCACCCAGGACCCAGTGAGCACTGTGGGCCTTGGACAACTCCCACCAAGGTGAAGTGAGAGCCTCAGAGCCTTCGGAGCATGGAGCGGTCGGGGCGGGYGCTGGCCTTTGCAAGGAGCAGATGTGGTTCCCCAGGTATCCTTAGGCAGCTCGTGTTCCCTTTCCGGGTGGGGAAAGGTAACGGCAAAAGCGGAGGT